AAAAAAAGGTTAGAAAACAAAATAAACCTCATCCTGCAAAATAAAATTCAGTATGCACAGTGACTGAATGGAGACTTGGTGTCAGGTATCCCAGCTGCTCCATGGAGTCTCTGGCTGGGTTTTGAGGACAAGTTCTAGCCCTCTCTGTGTTTTGATTTCCTCTTCTGGAGAAAAAAAAGGCAACATCTAACTTGCAGGCATACGTGACTAGAAGAGGGTATACTTTCTAAATGCTGGGCTATCATTCACACACAATAAACATCAAATCTAAGTTAGCTGCTACTATTTAAAAGTACATATGGGCAAATTAAAAATCAAGAATAAAAAATTTCTGATGAGGCTGAGTGATGATACAAAAAAGTATTTCGGGGCTGATCATGAATAAGTACCAGAATGGACCACATAGAATGCTCAGGAGTAGACCAAATACACATGGATTAGGGTACGATCAAGGCAGTATCCCCATGGGAAAAATATAGAAGTCTTTAAATTTAAAAATTGACAGGCCTTTGACCCCCGATTGACTCTTAATTCCTAGCCAAGGTTCATATCCGACAGATACATGTATGAAATGATGCAGATGTAAAGTTATATAAGCAAATGTGTCGTTAAAGCAAACAAATTGGAAACAGCAAGATAAGGCTTTAAGATGAACTGTGGGACAAACAATGGAATATTGACTGCACAATCTTCAAAAAGAATGAACTGGCTCTCTGTGAACCGAGATAAAGCCATCTCAGAGGTATTGTGTTGAGTTGTTTTTAGATTTAGGTATACGTCTGTGGGTGAGGCTTGCGGCCAATGACCTTTTACAAACACACACGTGTGGGTGCATGTGTGTCTGTGTGGGCGGACACACAGTCACGCACGTGTGCTCCTGCTGAGCGTGGCTCCAGGAGGAGCCGCAGGTCGCCAGCACTGGTTAGCTCTGGGGAACGAACAGGAGCCTGACATGGGGACACTTGCTATCCTCTGTCGCAGGCCCCCAGCAGCCCAGGGGCTCAGGACAGAGCAAGCAGCCTGTCCGCTCACTTGGGAGCTGGGTAGAGGATTTCCCCGAGACCTTCTGGTGAGACAGGACGGTGTCTATCTGTCATTACTGTGCCTTGGCAAAGTGGAAGTCGTAGCTACCTTCTCAAAGCCTTCAAACTCACAGCACTGCTGGCCTCCAGAGTATACAGATACTAAGAGCTCGAGCTGGAAACTAAAGAGCATGATCTCAGTGAAACCACTTATTCCTGGAGTGGAGGGGACAGTACCCACAGGCTGAATATTTATAAACCTCAGGATTATCAAAGAACTCCCGCCTGAGGAGCTTGCTCGTGTCTCCAGACACCTAATTAGAACCTGCTGCTCGGCTGCTTGCCCCAGGAGATGAGGATGGGGATGGCTTCGCCTTTGAGAGAAGAGCCGCCTGGAGCGTGCTGCAGTGTTTCCGCAGTCGACTCAGGCCGGGGGGCACTCCCAGTGGGAGCCACTCTGCATACTCCAGCCCAGCAGTGGTCATGGGTTGGTGTGGGCTGGTGTGATTTCCTGGGATGCTGTGGACAGCTTCATTTCATCTTCTCTTTGGACATCAGTGAGGACCTCACCCTTTCAGTCTCTTCTCCCCTCACACCCTAAGCTCCTTCCCACCCCTGAGTGCACCCTATAACGTCCAGCCTTGTGTTGATGTTTCCTCTGCTTAGGGTCCTTGCACCCCCCCAGCAGACACCCTGCTCATCCCTCACTACCCCATCTCCCAAGAAGCCTGTCTGCTAGCTTCTGCTGCCCATTCTCTTCCCTTCAGAAACTATGGACACTGTTCTCTGGGTCTGTGTGTTCTCTTCTACCTTCTTTGCTCTTCACTCACTCCATGCTTGCTTGGCTCCACTGTCTACCAGATGTATATTGTGCTCTGTCTCTGGAGTGTGGGAATGCATGCTTGGGGAATGCATATGGATGCACGCCAGCCACGCCTGTGTCCTGGGGACACCCTCACCTCGGTCACTGTCAGCAGACCACATTCATGCTTGCTCTGTGCCAGAATGGACGTGAGATACGGGATTTCAGAGGGGAGTATTGATCCCCCTTGATGAGGAATGATGCCTTGGGGTACAGCGAGTAGGAAAAATGGAATCATTAAACCTAGAAGACAGCTGAAGCACAATAATGATGGTGAGTGATGATGGCCTGAGCATAGGCAGAGACCAGCCTGGCTGTGCCCTTGCAGCTGTGACAGATGCTCAGCCTTGCCGTCATGGACCCAGCAGCCATGTGCCCCTCTCCTTTTGATGACCCATGGCGGTAATTTCCTCAGTTCACAGCAGTAGATGTGAGACCGCAGCCCCACGACAGCATCTCTGACCACTTCCTCTAATCGATGTTCTTTGTCTGCAAACATCCAAGCCCATTTTAGGAACACTCATTAGGCCTGGTAGTTTTTTCAAAGTTTGATGTCAAGCAAAACCCCAAGTGTGTCTCTTTAAGGAGGTCAAACCTCGGCTGGATGTGCTTGCTGTGTGTTGTCCTGGCGTCCCTGCAGTCAGGGAAGGGACAGGGCTCTCTCCTCTACTGTGTAATTGAGGGTATGGCCTGCAGAGGCGTATAAACAGTCCAGGCGAGGAGATACACACATATCCACAGGCACATGATTGTGGCATGCACACACAGCAGCAGCACACATGTACATAGACACATGTAGTGTGTGAACATATTCCTGTATACATACCATGTGTGTATGCATACACACATACATACACAGGCATATGCTCATAAGTATTAAACTTACATACAATCAATTTTAAGAAATTGGCTCTTATGATTGTGGAGGCTGGCGAATCCAGAATCTTGGGGGTGGGGGGACTGGCGGAGTGCTCCTTGGTGGCTTAGGGGTTCAGTCTCAGTGCTGTCACCATTGCAGTGTGAGTTTGATCCTCAGCCAGGGAGCTGACCCACATGGCACAGCAGATTTCTCCTGTCTCACCCACTCCTCCCCTCAACTGTGTGTTTCAGTAGAATCACCTGTTCTGCTCCCCACTCTGTCTCTGATGAATCCTCTCACCCACTGCATCTCTGGCCTGCACCCCAGTTCTACACAAACACACACACACAAAAATGCCATGGGCCCTCCCTGGTGGCACAGCGGGTTAAAGCACAGCACAAAGAAGCTTAAGCCACTTCCGCATGAGTTCGATCCCCGCCAGCCCCGGAGGTGACCACATGGCGGGGCAGACCTCTCCTGACCCGCCCGCTGCTCCCCTCAGCAGTGTACTTCATCTATCTGCCTGTTCTGCTCCCCGCTCTGTCTCTGGTGAATCCTCTCACCCTCCGCATCTCTGGCCTGTACCCCAGTTCTGTATGAATAAATAAATCTTTTTAAAAAACGCGTAGTTTAGAAACCCAGGGAAGAGCTACAGCAGTTGTACTCCAATGGTGATCTGCTAGTTGAATCCCTCTTCCTCCTGGGAAATCAGTTTTGTGTTTTTAAGACCTTTAACTGCCTGGATGAGGCTCTTCTTCATTGGAAGGATAATCTGCTTTATGACTCTACTGATTCAAAGATTAGATGTTACTCTCAACTGAAAAATACCTTCACTGTAACACTTAGAACTTTTGGCCAAATATCAGGTTACCGTGGGTCAGCCTAGTAGACACATGGAGTTACCCATCCCCAAAATGAAGCACCTGTGTGGTGTGATAGAGTCCTGGAGTCTAGGGAAACAGC